AATCTACAAATCTGTCTCATTTCTTTTATCAAATGCTAACATTATGAGTCTTATATTTGGTCTAATTTTATTATAAAAGAATGCCAGTTCTATGCTGTGAGAGTTCTTTACAGAAAGGATGAAAGTTCTGTAAATTGTCTTTACAGAAAGACAATTCCATTTGAAAAGAGCACTAGTGCAATATCTTTTAAAACTGAGTTGCCAAGTGGATGGGGAGGGTTAATCTCAGTGTATGGTATCAGGAAGAGGGTGAGTGGACAGGATCTGAGGACATGAATTTGGGAGTTTGAAATCGTTTTTAGATTTCTGACACTTGAAATGTAGTCTTGCATGTTTGAATTTGGTGTAGAGAATATGTTAGTGAAAAGTTAGCTAACTTTTAACTTAGTTAAAAAGTTAATGTAAGAAAGGGTTTTCACCTTTTCTGTGATTTTTAAGTTTACAAAAATAATTTCACAAATAATATTTGTTGTTATTGTATTTATGCTTAAAGATAAGTTGAGTGAATTTTATGGGGAAAGATTTACATGAGAAATGGTATTACCAAAAGTAGCCACAAATTGAGATTGGGCTAGTTTTATTTTCATATAGTGTGTAGGACTCACAATACAGATTTTGGGCCTAGTCATAAACTTTATGGTTTCATGTCATGACCATTTTTTTGTCTCATGATTTCTTTTACCCCTTTCTGCTTTCTCATCCCTCTTCAACTAAAATCTTATATACGTTTAATACAGGGCACACATTTTATGATTCTTTTTACCTTAACATTTTTTTTTTTAACCAATTCCATTTCTGAGTGTCACATGGCAACTAATCCTTGAAGACTAAAGGGATATAATTTTGTTAGGGTTTTTATAAGATGACCATCATCAAAAGATGCAGTTATGCAGGAACTTTCAAATATTTGATGAGGGAGAAGGCCCTTTGAAATTAGGGCTGGTTTCATATTCTGATTATGACTAATAGGCAACCTTTTTTTTTGTGCTTGTGGTTTAGTGGGAGTGGAATAAGGGAAAAGGGAGAGGTCAGGGGCTAATTGTACCCATTTCCATGCATCCAGGTTTAGGAGTTGATTCTTATCATGATTAGTCATTTTGGAATCACGCATGTGCATTTAAACCACACTAGTTTCATTCTGAATAATGTATGAGAATTTTTAACTTCCAAAATGTCTAGAATTCAGGTTAGCATCTCTTAGACGTGTGCGTAAAGGGCACAGTATGCAGAGTCTAGGCCTTAACTTCTTTTGAGGCTATTTGGGCCATTGCATTATGAGACTTTGTAACCAAAATTATCACCCTAACATGATAAAATGAAAGAATTAGAAAAGAGGGTTTGGAGATCGGAATCTAAACCAATGGTTCTCGACCCTGGTTGCATGTTTGAATTACCTTGGAACTTCTGAAAAGTACAAATACCCAGAGAATTTGATTGAATTTGGCTTGTGTGCAGCTTAGTATTGATTTTTTTTTTTTTAAGTTTCTTAGGTATTTAAGTATTCTAACATATAACCAGGAAGAAATTTTCTGATCTAGTTCAACCCTTTATTTTTTTGGTGAAAAACCTGATATTTGGAGAAGTTAATGACTTTCTTAAGATCACACAACTAGTTAGTAGAGAGGTAATTAGTAGCCACAATTCTAGAGGATTTTGTTCTCCATTTTCTTCTTTAAATTGATCTTTTTTTAAAGGTCATTTTTTAGGTAATGGAGAGTCTTACATAAGTAGAGAGGTTGCTTTCCTGAAAGTCATATTTGCCTCTCAGTCTAAAAACATTATTTCAACATCAAAAGGATGGGCAAATGTAGACGGAGGCTGAGTGAGTGTATCATGTTTGTATAGCTGTCTGTGCCTGTCAGTAGGGTTACTTAGGAACTATGAAGTGATAAAAGAGGCAAGAAAGATAGCATTTTAACAAAAGGAGGAAGCACTTGGTTACTTAAATTTGTCAGATGCATACTGTGTCTGGGAGAAGGATGATGGCTATCTCGCAGGTTCCCTTACCTCAGGCATTAAAGTAGAAATGAATAATCAGATGTGGTTAAGAGGGGAAAAGGTTACATTTCCTTTAATTCAGATTAAGCTTGCACTGCACCCATGATTGAACAAGTGAGTTCTCTCAGTTCCTCTTGTCTTGGGGAGACCTCTGAGGACTCCAGGGTTTACCTGGAAGGCCTGTCTATCTGTCACTTATTTCCTTATACGCCCCACACACTTGCTTTTCCCATGGGTCAGGGCTTAATCAAATAAGCCGAACTGGAGTTTCTGTAGTGGTTCTCATAGTTTTCACAAATGTGAGGGATACTGTGTTAAGATTTCTGCTGCTGCTCCTCCAAAGGATAATTCTTCAAAAGTCTGAGTCTTCTTTCATGTAAGAATGTGTACTGTTATGGCTTCTTGCCAAGGTAAAAAGATGAGGACTGACCTGTCACATAATGCTTATTTATGTCCTCACTGTTTCTGTTCTTTAGATTAATACATCCAGTTCCTTTTCAACATACTGTATTAGGAAAATGTTATTTTAACTGCAGCTTTTTAAATTTTTTTCTAAATTTCAAAATGACTAAGTCATTTTGGCTTATAATTTTGACCTCAGTCACCTTTTGGAGCAACTCACCAAAAGGCCAGTTACGGTCGTGTGTGAAGAATCTGTCTGCTTGGCCCATGTTGCCAGAATGTCGTTTTGTAATTTCCTTTGGCAATAGTGTCTTCGTCAGTGATTCTCAACTAATATACTTCCTCTTTCTACAGCCCCAGTACACTAGAGGGACTGTTTTTCCTCTTTCTCAAAGCTGTGTCATTGACCTCTGAAGTGAAGAAATTGGCCCTTTTTGACTTTGATCTGTGAGTCCCATGTAACAGAGATACTTTAAAAAAGAAGCTAAGTGTGTGTTTTGATATGTTTATCTCCTTCTTAGAAAATGAAATGAACTACAGCAGACTTATTTTTAGGAGATTTTAGGAGAGTTCTCATTTTAAGAAAATGATACCATACAAGAACATCTTGTAGTTAAAATTTTTAGTACTCTGTTGTGATTCTTACTTAAAATCTGCAAGATATTTTTATTTGGAAAATTAATGAAGAGGCCTTGTCTCACTAAGAAGTCATTTAATTTGGTCTCGCAAAAGTTTACCATCCTCATGGAAAATGCAAAGATAAGGCTGTTTAGGTTGGAGCCCAGGTGTTTGAGACCAGCCTGGGCATATAGCAAAACCCCGTCTTAATTTTTTTTTTTTTTAAAGATTGTTTAGGCCTGTACATTCTGGTGGGTTGCCCCGCTTACCTGTAGCTGGGGCATCACATTACGGATTCCCAGAGCTAAAGAGAATATGGAATTTATTTTGTTTCTATACCCACTTATTTTGCCTATGGGGACAGACTTGACCCTATTCTCAACTCCTCATTTCACTCCTTTTCCTGCATCACAAATTGATGGGGCCTGAAGAGCCACTTCACCTTTTTGGTGCTAAAAAAAAAAAAAAAAAAAGAGCTGGGGATCATAAATACAAAGATGGGTTGATATCAGTGGGTGTTAGAGCTGGTATACAGTAAGTGAATAAAAGAGAAAAACCCTTTTTACCCATTTGCATCACATCCTGTTTCATGTATTCAACAAATGCTTATCAAAGACATGCTGCTTGCAGAGCATTCTGTCAGGACCTAGGGATATAGTGGTAGCACAAGGCAGATAAAGAAAGTTCCAGTTCACTCACGGGAGTTCCTATTTTGATCGAGGAGAAAGAGAATAAGCTGTGGCATATCTGTGCTTTGTGAACTTGTCATTGCTGCCTATTCCCATCGCATTTTTTTACATCTGTATTTCTGCTTTCTGTAGTACTTCAACTCTGCTAAGAAGTTGCAGGCAAACGGCAAATTTGATGTCGGGCGTGGCTTGGAGCTGGCATTTAACTCTCTGCAGATCATTTTGAGCTTGCTTTGGAGATGCAAAGCCACCGTACCATGGCTCCTGTGGATTGGGTCTATTTGGGAGAAGCTTTGGTTTTCCAGGCTCCACCTGGATTAGATAGAGCACGTCTTTGGCCCTGGACTGATGTGGAATCCCCAGTTCTGTCTTCCAGGACTTGATGTAGATCTGGCCTTCCTCTGGAATGGATATGGAGCCTTGATGCCACTGACTTATCTGTATTACTTGTTGCCTAAAACTCAGAACTAAAAGAGATCTTAAAGATCATCTAACTACTTTATTTTGGAGGTTAGGAACATGTGAGTGACTGGTTCAGGGTTCCACAGCTAGCAGGGGTGGAGTTATGGGTGTGTCTAACTAGCGCAGTGACTCATGCCTATAATTTTAACACTTTGGAAGGCCAAGGCAGGAGGATTTCTTGAGGCCAGGAGTTTGAGACCAGCCTGGGCAACAAAATGAGACCTTGTCAGTACCAAAACAACACACACACACACACACACACACACACACACACACATATATATATATATATATTACATATAAAATTTATATATATTATATAAAATATATATATTTTATATAAGATATATATATCATATATATGTTATATGTATTACATGTATATATTATGTATATATTACATATATATAATATATATTACATATATATATATTATATATATGTATTAGGCCCAGTGCGGTCTCACGCCTGTAATCCTAGCACTTTGGGAGGCCGAGGCTGGTAGATACCTGAGGTCAGGAATTTGAGACCAGCCTGACCAACATGATGAAACCCTGTCTCTACTAAATACAAAAAATTAGCCAGGTGTGGTGGCACATGCCTGTAATCCCAGCTACTCGGGAGGCTAAGGCAGAATTGCTTGAACCCAGGAGGCGGAGGTTGCAGTGATCTGAGACTGCGCCATTGCACTCCAGCCTGGGCAACAAGAACGAAACTCCCTCTTAAAAAAAAATTAGCTCGGTTGTGGGGGTGCATGCCTGTTGTCCCACCTACTTGAGAGACTGAGGCAGGAGAATCCCTTAATCCCAGGAGTTTGAGATTGCAGTGAGCATGACTGCACCACTGTACTCAGCCTGGGTGACAGAGTGAGACCTTCTTTTTTTTTAAAAAAAAAAAAAGAGTGTCTCGGTACCACTGTACTACAGTGTCTGCTGCCTACCATTGTTGTTTCGCAGCTGTTCATGTCAGTGTTGTTTGCCTCAAATTCTGCAAGCCCTTACTTCACTTGCTGTCTTCTGCTTCTCCTCCCCTCTTCTAGGCTGTCACACACTGGAGTCACTATGGTTCTCTTTTTATGTTCTCCATCAGCACTCTCAACTTACCTTGCTAAAATGCCTTTTCTCTCAACACCACTTACCCTGCCCACCCCATGACTCCTACCTGTTTATTTTGTCATTTTCCTGCGACTCTTGAATATTTTTAAGCACAGTGTAAGAGACTCGAAATTAGGGAATGTGTCTGCCAGACACTCACTTGAGTGTTTCTAATATTTGGAGCTACTTTTTGGTTTATGTAATCAGCCCATATGGATAACCTTAGTTTTGGGGCTGTGACTCTGAAAGGGGCTGATGTGGCTCAGGAATGAGCTGGTGTGGCCCAGGAATGAGCTGGTGTCATGGGTGAAGTCTTTTGGGTATTTGCATCTCTGAAGGTGGCATCAGCCTTAGACCTCCTAGCATCAATGTTGATGTGATGTGGAGTAAATGTGAGATGATGCTGTGCTATCTGGGGTTTCTTGCAGTGCCTTGTTAACCAATGCATAAGTCGCTGAAAACTCCGTAAGTGTCCATCACTACCTACCACAGAAACTGAGGGAAGAGTGATCTTGGGATGACCTTGCATTAAGAGAAAAATGAAATCAAGTTTGCCCTCTGTATGTATATCCCACTGTATGCAACATCAACATGCGCTGTCCAGAAAGTCATCATAGAATTGTTTTGCCCAAAGTTTATTTTACCCACTTTTAGGAAAAAAGCTGTTATGTAAAGCCTTAGTTGTTTGTAATGTTCTTCATTTTGTGGCAGAAGTCCCAAATGTACTTCAAGTTTTCTGTCCTTGGATTGGGAAATAGAAGTCATGTATGAAAGGAAAGGAGATAGCAGGCAGTCTTTGAGATGATCTATTTCAGGACCAGTCTGCAGCTTTTCCAAGTTAAGAGTTCTGAATAGGTTGTTAGGCTGGAGATTATGATAGACGACCCCAGTTCTGACTGCATCATTGCCCAGACAGACCCAGTATCTTTCACCATTTTATTCTTGACCAAATGGCATTCATTTCCCAGTGTCTCAGTCTCCCTTAAAGGAAAAAGAACAATAGCAGGCATCCATAGAGTGCTGTGATGTATCACTCTTGGTAAAATGGAAATGTATGATTGGAGTGTGTTTCAAGCCAGGCTTTTCTACAGTTCGCTTGTTCTGCTTTTCACTCCTGATTTTTTGAGGTTTTGATCTTGAGACATTTTCTCTTCAGTGCCTCAGTTATTACTATGGAATAACATAGTAAGTGAAGAGGACTAACTTCTCTGCTGGGCTGTGGCTCTTCTAGTAATTCTGCCACTCCTGGGTCATTGCCTGAGGTGAGGAAGCCAGGTTATCTTCTTGAGGCTCGTCACACCTTGGTGTCCGGATGTGCCCTAGGACTGCAGTGGAGAGGTGAGCACAGAGTAAGGAAAACATGTGGCACATGTGTAGGGAGCAAGGCTGGAATAAGAAGTAAACTCTCCCCCAAACAGACAAACAGCATACATTAGCTTCATTCTGGGGTGAACCTGTAGTGAATCCAAGAGAGATGTGTTGGGCAGTTTTCAGTATGTGTTAGGGTATTCCTTTGAAGACCATTAGGGGGTGGGGGGCAGGTAGAAGAATCTACGTCACATTTTCCCTTATGTATTTTTATCTTAAATTTTTAAATTTTTTATTTGAGACAAGGCCTCGCTCTATCACCCAGGCTGGAGTGCAGTGGCACAATCATAGGTCTCTACAGCTCCAAACTCCTGACTCACTCTGTAGAGAGCTATGATCCTTCTGCCTCAGCCACCCCAGTAGCTGGGACTACTAATGAGCGCCACCACATCCAGCTAATTTTATGATTTTTTTGTAGAGATATGAGGTCACTTTGTTGCCCAGGCTGATCTCAAACCCCTGGGCTCAAGTGGTCCTCCTGCTTTGGCTTCCCAAAGTGCTGGGATTACAAATGTAAGCCACTATACCCAGGCTTTCTTATATTTTAGATGTCTAGTGAAGTTAATAAAGGTAGCCCTTGAAGCTATTGAGAGTTTACTCAGAGCCAGCAGAGGGAGTACACAAGTCTTAAAGCTGATTGCAAGTATTTTTTTCTCTCCACTCTGCTAAAATAATACCTTGATTTTTTTTTTTTAAAAAGAACTCTGAATAGTGTTTCCATGTAAGTTTATTGTCATTATCAGAAAAGGATAGTTTGGCAGAGCATGTGTGGAGATTAAAAACTTAAAGCAAGTGTTTTAAAGGAAATCTTGGTCTTCTAAGACCCATGGTTTACTTCGCATTCCTAGATCATTAAATGGGAGTGCTTTTAGCTGAAAAATATCCTCCCCTGCCTTTCATCTTTTTGCTACTCAATTCTTGATACCGTATGTTCATTTATACCTATGACCAAATTTTTATGGAGAAGTCAAGTGTCTGGATCAGTGGGATGTTCTGTGTTTTAGTGCTATTTTGATTAAGACTTTTGATATTTTCCAAAGCTTCACAGTTCCTCATGGGTGAGAGAAATGTATGTGTGTACATTTCTCTCAGGTAAGAGAGAAATGTAAGGTAAAAGTAAGAGCAACATTATTTCCAACTCAAAAATGAGTATTCATGGATCTACAGGAGACTACCATAACTTTGAACTTCTTGTAATTCTGCAATGCTATAATTTGTCCCCTCCCTCCTCTATGCCCATATTTTGGTGGTGGGGGTTTATTTTTTACATGGCGGTTGGAGTGGGTTGAATAGTGTTTCTCTAAAATTCATGTCTTCCTGGAACTTCAGAATGGTGACCTTATTGGGAAATAGGATCTTTCCAGAAGTAAAGTGAAGTCATATCGGCTTAGGGCAGGTCCTAAATCCAATGACTGGTGTGTATAAGAAGATGAGAAAATACACAGAGACCCAAATAAGGCCGTGGGAAGTTGGAGACAAAGATTAGAGTGATGCAGTTATAAGCCAAAGAACACCAAGGATTGCCAGGAGCTGCCAGAAGCTGGAAGGGGCAAGAAAATATCCTCCGTTAGAACCTTCTCAGGGAGCATGGCTTTGCCAACATCTTGATTTTGGACCTCTAGCCTCCAGAACTGAGAGAGAGTGAACTTTTGTTGTTTTAAGCCCTTAAATTTGTGATAATTCGATATGGCAGTCCCAAGAAACTAGCCTAACAGCCTCGGGATAGAAGAGTGGGAATGGCAGAGTTGCAGATGGAGAAGAATAAAAAGACTTTATTTAGATTCAGATTAAAGTGTTAATAATCATTTATAGGCTACTTTCTTGTCAATTACATTTCTTCTTTTTTTATTCTGCAGCAAGGACAGAGGGAGGCATGAATTTTCCTTGATTTCCCAGTTAGAGCTACTAGAACATGTCCCTCTCTCACATGTGTCCTTCCCCCTAGTCCCTTCCTTACTGAATTTTTTTTTCTGCCTATTTTGTGAACTGACAGTATGGCTGTGCTTGTTGATTGTGGACTTGAGGTTTACAGTAAGTCGGTGAAGTCTGGCCGAGGGCTTTGGTCTAGTTGAGTCAGTCTTTGAGGGGAGGGGAGGGGAAGGAGAAACCAAGGATCCTCGGTGGGAGAATAATGTGGAAGAAGAAGGCTCCTTTTGGCCATGTCAAGGCTTGAGCAGATAGCTGCATACCATGTTCACTGCCATTGGTGATGGTGGTAAGGCTAATCCAGATCTCTCTGGAGTCCTATCAGTGTGTCCTATGCTTGGTTCAAACCTTTCAAAGTCTCACACGCTTGGTACTTCAGGCTCACTTCCCCTCTGTTTTATATTTACATCCGAAAAACCAGCTCTTCTGATGAAGCACAGAACATAGAGTGGTTGTCCTCATAGGAGCAGCAGCAGCAGCAGTAGCCGTAGATATCTGGTAGGTACCCAGTAGGTGTTTGGCTCAAAATGTTTAGACATTTAAGAATCAGTTACATCTGTTTGTTTTCATATTTTAAAATCGTATTTTTGGAGAGGGGTGTCCGGGTTAGGTTAGAGATACAGTTTGTTTTTCATGATTAAAAGGAGTCTACACAAAACATTTTCTGGCTTATTTATAATAGTAATGACAATAATAATAGCCATGATTTATTGAGCCCTTACTATGTGCCATTTGCTTAACTACATTTTTTTACGTTTAGTATTGATCCTGTAGTTTAAAGAGAAGGAAATGGTTCATGAAGGTTAAAGTAACTTGCTTGGGATCCAAACCCAGGGCTCTCTGACTTGGGAGCTTCTGACTTTCCTAGTATGCTTTCCTGTCTTTTGGAGTGTGTGTGGGACTTTGGGTGGGGTACAGCAAGAAATTAAAGAGCTGTCCTTTAAAAAGTTTCTACTCTGTGCCGCATTCTTCATCTCTGTCCCCAGGAATCCCCACCTTAATTAATGCTTTTGAGTTCGTCTTGAATGATCATTTTCAGAGTCGTGCCGACTCTGAGTAACAGCATCTCTCTGTGTGCTGGTGGGAAGTAGACTTGGCTTCATGATTTAGGCTTCTTTCCTTGATTTTTGTATGAGCTAAATAACTTTTAAGAATTAGCATATACCTGGGTCTTTAATGGGAGAGTAGGAATGGCTTGAGAATTCTGTGAGAAACCTGTTGGTTTGGTGAGTCTGCATTTCTCTTCGGTCACTACCAGGTGTGACCATGGTTTACTATGGGTCAGATGCACAGAATACTATTTATAATAATAGAGTGACGCATGGTAGGTAGAAATCTTTTGGGATGGGCCCTTATCGCAGAAGTTTCTATGTTGGGACAGTAGGATATCTGTGCTTTTATAGGCTTCAAGCAGATAGATGAATGCAGACAGCAACATCAAGAAAAGCAGATTTTAGGAAAAAAAAAACACATTTACAAGGAGTTCTTGGCAGAAGTTTTGCTGCTGAATCAGAACTCATAATTAATGATATTAAAAATATTGTGTGAGGTGGTCGTCTCTTTGCAGTGCAGTTACTAACAGTTTTAAAGGCAGGCTGCCAAGACAGAAACAGAAAATGTTGCATAATGCAAGTTGCTGGCCAGGTTAGTGTTTATCTCTACTGAAGAGCCTACTGCTTTTGTCTTCAAGGTAAAAATATGTATGAGTAAGTCCTAAGATGGTGGTTTTAATTGGCCACAGGAAGGCAGTACCTATGTGCCCTAAGATAAAATGTAGCTAACAGAATGCTAATATTTCCATATTATTCTGTTTATGTTGGAAAAAAATTACAGAACTCTCAGTTTCGTAGTAGAGAAGGGTAAGTAGTGTCTGGATAATGTCCGAAGGATAAACTGAAACTCGTATGATAAACGTGAGCAGGCAGAACGGTGCTACCTGATAACCGCGTATAACAGCATGCAGGGGAGGATGGTGCGGCAGGAGGCTGCTGCAGTAGAAGGTGGCAGTGCCACTGTGGACTTTTAAAGGGACAACTCTGGGTACAAACCTGAAGTTTAAGGAGGGCATAAAATTATATACATTTGAGTTTGTCTCCTTGAAAACTGGTTCTCTCTTTTTACTGCATTAAAAAGATCAAGTGGATAGTTGAGTCATTAATTCAGGTAATTCACATTACAAAACTGCTTTTTTCCTGAGTGTCCTAATCATTGATTTTTAAAAATGATATTTCTTTGATCATAAATTATCTGCATAATGGCTTTGGTTCCATATTTCATATTAAGCTTGGGCTGAGTGATGTTTAAAGCCTCCTGCTCACCCTCCTCCTGTTTCTTCCTATTTTATTTTACTTAATACCTTAAAAAAAGATGTAGATTAATTTTCTTCTGATACCATGATGGTTTCATAGAGTAAAACACTTTTTCTAGATCTCTTTCATTTGAACTTTTCCTGTTGATAAATCGCTGAAAAAAAAGATCTACTTAATTTAAAAGCATTGCGATGGGTCTTCCAGAGTTTTTACCTTACATGTAGCTGCTCTAGGACTTACCATCAACATTTATTTCCAAACCAAGGACTTGTTAATCCCTTCCTTCATATTTTTGCATCTGAGTCTGAATTAGGTACGGGTTTTTCTCTTTGTTTTTTCAGTTAGAAAAACTTCAGTTGGTAGGATGAGAAGGGACATATCTTACTCACTTTCAGTACAGTCCCATTAACAGCATTAATGTGCCGTGTATGAATATACTTATGCAGATTGGGGCCCACAAACTAGTAACATTTTGGGCAAGATAATTTTAAGTAAAAATTGAAGCTCTGATGCTGCTCCTTTTTAATTTTCTTTAATAATGATCAGTTTCTGTAATCCCAGTACTTTGGGAGGCCGAGGCGGGTGGATCACGAGGTCAAGAGATCGAGACCATCCTGGTCAACATGGTGAAACCCCGTCTCTACTAAAAATACAAAAAATCAGCTGGGCATGGTGGCACATGTCTGTAATCCCAGCTACTCAGGAGGCTGAGGCAGGAGAATTGCCTGAACCCAGGACGCGGAGGTTGCGGTGAGCCGAGATTGCGCCATTGCACTCCAGCCTGGGTAACAAGAGTGAAACTCCGTCTCAAAAAAAATAATAATAATAATAATGATCAGTTTTAAATTTCTTTAATAATGATCAGTTAGATGCATCATTTATATAACCCTGAGAAGCCTGGAATTGACTTATGAAAATGTCGTAGGCCTGATTAAAGTTATCTTCAAGCTGATACCAGTGTAAGCATGTTTGCTTTAGAACACATGGACTCTTAAGCTCCTAATAGATAATTTTCTAGGTGAGCTAGTATACTGTTTCTTGAAATTAGTGGCCTAAATCAGCCCTTCTATCTCCAAGCCTGTCTAATAAAGATAAGTTTACAGCCGTCTTTTTGAATAGATGCATGTCCTCTGCTGAACTGAATTATCTAAATCAGTCCTGTTTAGTCTCCTCCCCTTCCAAGAAAGATCCTTATTTCATACTGAAAGACTAGGTGATTTGGGCCATATTTTAGGTTTTGTCATTTGTTAAGGTCAAGTTCAGCATTTGACTGTGGACATCATTTAGTAGATGTTCCTTGGGAAGAGACTTATTGGGAAGAGAAGTTTATTCCAATAGTCTCATAAAATCAGTGAATGCTTCAAGTTAATTTATTAGCAGCCAGTGCTGAATAAGCAAGGTACCACGTGTTAAATAAGAAAGGTAACAGGTGGTGCTAGTGAAAAGTATGTCATCTAAGTTGGCTTTGAAATCAATTGTTGACCAGATGAATGTTTCAGTCAAAAATTACGATTCTTGTTTTTAAGATGCAGTTTTAGCCACATCTACATTTTTTCATCCACCAAAAAAAATTTAAATGGATGAATCTGTTTAGCTTTTAATGCAGTGGAAATACATCTGGATTTTTATCTCTTGGCTCCCAGTGTTTGCTCTATTGATGTGAGCAGAGATGATTTTCACCTGACGTCTTTGTTGCCTGCCTGGAGAGTCCTTGCTCTTTCCATTGACTGAGTTCTTCTAACTAGTTTCTTTTGTGTTCATTGTTGTGCCTTAAACAGGATCATAAAGCTTTCAAAAAAATTTTTTTTAGCTTGTTACCTCACGTGTCTGTGCTGGTCAAGAAGGAAGAGAAAAAAATACCAAGGTTTTATCATTTGCATTGCATGTTTTTACAGCTTTGAAAACCCATTTGTCAGTGAGGTTACTGGGAGGATGATTTCAGCTACTGGGTGCTCTGAGAGTTACTTCTTTAATCTCTTCCCTCCCCATTTCAAAAACAGTTTTTTTTGATGGGGAAGAAATTATATATATATATATATATTTTTTTTTTTTGATATATGATTTCAAAGTTAAACTTTTAGTTGATTTGTGAAAAACTAAAAGTTCTTTGCCTCAGGTTCTCAGTAACTTCTAAAAAAAAATAGTATACCTTGTTAAGAGGATTTCCTGGTATGTTCTTTGGACCGTTACCAAGTCTTTGGCACATGAGGGTACTTCCTTGATCATCTAGCTATTTCTGATTTTTGAACCTGAGACAGCCAACATTGGGTTGATCCCTAGATCAATCTCACGAATCTAACAGATTAATCTCTCTTTCACTTGTCCTGGTCATTCCTGGTTGCTGTCCCATTCTGTTCTTTTCCTTTTATATCTACTACACATTGTCTGAAGAGGGCTTATTCCCCTTGTCTTTCCTATCCACCAGTCACCTTTCTCCTACATCAGTGGTTTTTAACCCTGGCTGCATTTTAGAATCACCTGAAGAGCTTTCAAAACCACCAGTGTCTAGGTACCATCCTAAGGCAGTTAGGTCAGAATCTCTAGGTATGAGGACTGGGCATCTGTATTTTTTAAGCTTCCCAGGTGGTGATAATGTATAGCCAGAATTGAGTATCACTATCTTAGAGAAATTAGATTTCGGCTGTGGAAGTTATCAGCTATTTTGGTAATGACTTTTAGACCTGTTTCAGCCCTCTACTCCATAGGAAGCTCCACATGACAAGGAATGCTATAAAGTTGGAATTAAAGAGGAAGGTTGGCTTCTAAGGACAAGAGCATTATTATCACTTAACAAACTGTGTTTAACCTTCGGGCTCCTCCTCCTCTTTAGTATAAATGCATGTGATGTCTTTAGTTTCCAACTCCGACTCATTTTTCTAGTCTCTACTGAACCTTAGTTAACTTACTTTGAAGTTTTCAGCAATTTTAAAGAAGAGATGGTGCTGTTTTAAGTCATTGCATGAGACTTAAAAACTGAGGTGCATAAGCTTAGTATTCTTTTGTGCAACCTAATCTGATATACCAGCAGGTCCCACCATATCCTGATGTTTTAAAGTAATGGTTCTCCAAGTGATTCCCTAGCACAGCAGTGTCAACATCACCTAGGAACTTTCTGGGAATGAAGATTCTCAGGCTCACCCCACACAGACTAAATCAGAAACTCTTTAACAAGCCTTATAGGCGATTAGAGGTTCTGAAACCTCAGCTTTTTAAGTCATTTGCTAAGTCTGTAGAATTATTCTCGTAATAGGAGTAAATAATCTAATATCTCATGCCATCTTGGCTTCAGAATCCTGACAAGAATGGAGGAAAAAATGTGGTATCTGATGAAATATAACAAAGTTCTAGCCCCTTGAGTATTTTGGACTTCCCACAGATCTGTGTTGCTGTGTAGCCTTCTATACAAGGCAAGGATACTCACCTTTCAGGATCACAACAATAAAGAATCCTCTCAGGTGTGCAGAGGAAACCAAATGGGGTTCACCTTAGTGCATGTATTGTGTTCACAAAACTTATGTTTAGGTTGGATTCGTGGCTTTTTTTGTATTTGTATATGATCTTTTTCTCTTGTTTGTTTTGGTCTTTTGAGGACATGCCTAGTTTTAAAACCATCAGACAGGGGAGTAGTTGCACTGACTCATCCCCAGACGGATATGGGACATGTGAAAGAAAGATAAGATAAAAATGTGCTGGGTGTAATCAGTGTGAGAGTGTCAGTGCAGTGAAAGGGAGAGTGACATGGCTCTTGTGATGGAGTCAGGGGTAAGGCAGGACATCCACTTTGGCTGAGGATCCTAAAAGGCATATGACCTCTCCCACCACAGGTGGAGCCAGGTACAAATCCAAACAAGTATTGCTGTTTGTCAGTATCATTGGATTCTGTAGTCCATTAAGCAGGGCCTCATGATCAGCTGGCCATATCAAACCCAGCTGGTGGCTTTAGGAATATAATTAGTGCAAAACATACCAGGTTGGCCAGTTGTGGGTGTTCATGTCAGGACTTTTTACCGCCTGCTTCAGAACATTGCCTGAGATTCATAAACACTAACAACAACAATAACAAACTTCACCAGGATTACTTTGCATTACAATTCATTTTGCTGTTAGTGGCATTCCTTTCCCTACGTGAAGCCATATCCAAGATGTTAGGGCTTGAGTGCTGAGCCTCTGAGGTGCAGCAATCTGGGTTTTCTTCTTGGAGTGGGTAGGGCAGGCCAGTCACTTTCCTCAGATTCACTAAGATTCTTGGGAAGGCTCAAAAAGGCAGGTTCCGTGTTGGAACAACATCAGAAGGTCCACAAGGAAGGGAAAGCTGCATTGAGGGACTTCTGTCTGGGGTCAGAGTTTGGAGGAAAGTCCAAAATATTGTGCTGGTATTACTGCTCATCTGCGTGAAAAATAAAAAGTGTCTCCATTTTTTTTTTCTGAGATAAATAGTAAAGATAAAGCTTTCTTAATATTTTAAGATGTGCCATTACCTGTGAGCAGCATTCCAAATTGGACTCCGGGAGAGTGCTAGGGACTTGTACACACTGGAAGTCAGATACAACTGGTGGGCATTGGAAGTGCTGGGGACAGTAGGCTCCTTTCCAGAGCTGCCACCGCACACAGGTGAAATGTGTAAACAAACATCAGTTGCTCTTCCATTTTGATTTCCCCAAAGCATGAGCCTTTGCTTGCATGTTCTGGAGACAAGGAGCGAGGCTATCTTGAAAGAACCTGGCACCAGGGTCACTTCTGCAGAGGAGAAAAATGTCTGGTAGCAGTCCAGGAATAAAGCCTATCTGGGAGCAGTCCAGAAAGCTTGTCTCCCAGCCCAGAGGAACCCCCAGTCCTCGGCCCCTGTGTCCAAGACCTGGAGATAATGAGAAACATCACCTGCTTGACCCCTCTTTGAACATTGCCTTACGGAGGCTATAGGGGAGGTCTTTGGTTTTGAGACAGTCAGTGTCCTGACTTCTATATGCTGGTGCATTGCAGAGTTGTAGTTGAAGGTGGAAAACTTTTAATTCCCTTCTGCCCAAAAGAGACAAAAAGGGCTAAATCTTACTTCTGTGTTAGTATGAATGGGTGTGATATGTACAGTCATAACCTAAGATTTATCAATCATTTTCATGGCTATAACTAAAAGCTACTGTTAATTGAACATTTATTAGCAGTGTGTTAGACACTGTTAAGCTTTATGCATATTAGCTCTTCCTCTTTTTTTTTGAGATGGAGTCTCACTCTGTTGCCCAGGCTGGAGTGCAGTGGCACAATCTTGGCTCACTGCAACCTCCGCCTTCCAGGTTCAAGCAATTCTCCTGCTTCAGCCTTCCAAGTAGCTGGGACTATAGGCGTGTGCCGCCTTGCCTGGCTAATTTTTTTTCTATTTTTAGTAGAGACGGTGCTTCACTATGTTGGCCATGCTGATCTTGAACTCTTAACCTCATGACCCGCCCACCTCAACCTCCCAAAGTGCTGGGATTACAGGTGTGACCCACCATGCCGGGCCTTAGATCTTCCTCTTTATGCATGAGGAAACTGAGGTACAAAATGGCTAAGTGACTTGGCTGAGGCCATATAGTTGGTAAGTGATAGAAATGGGATTCCTGTATCAATATGTCTCCACTTTGACTAAGTAAACTCCAAAGTCAATTTATCCAAGCTTTAGGGATCTTGATTTCATAATACTGCCTGAGACCTCACTGGCTTGTTCTTTTCCATCATATTTCTCATTTTAGTTTTAAAGAAGAGAAAGGAAGGGAGTTTGCATGATCCGTTAGAATTGAGACAGATATGTTCTACCTAGCTGTTATTGTTTCAGAACCCATAGAAAGAACAGACTTGAGTGTTAGGTTGTAGACAAGCATTCACATTGAACACAAAAGGCTTTTCAGACTTGCACTCTTGTCAAGTGTGATTATTCTTAGGGATGGGACACTTCAAACTGCTTCTTCAGGCTCTATAGCAGATGTAAATGATATTCCAGGAAGGGTGACCCAGCTCATTTTTTGCAGGTTCAGAAATGAGACACATAGATGAGTTTGCTCTAAACTGCATTTAAACTTTCCTGCAGTCATTGCTTTCTCTCCCTCCCTCTGACTCTCTTGTGGAAGTTGAAGCAACCTAATTGTATATCATCTGTTGGTGAACAGCCACATTGTGCTTGGAAGCCAGTGGGTCATTTGGGTCTAGTTTTCTTCTTTGGATCTGCTTCGTAGTTGAAATTAGGCTCAGGACATTGTGTATGGTGGTTTAAGAAGGTGACTGCAGCCGGCAGGTGTTGAAAGACGGAAGCAGCAGGAGGAGGCCGAACTGTGGAGGACAAGGTTGATAACTGGATTGGCAAATGGGGATTGAGGAACATGGAAGGTGGCCCAGTAAAAATACCTTGGCAGAAGCTGGAGAGTTGTAGTTGTGTGATTGTGATGATATATTAGGGGTGATGGCTGGGTTTAGGGAGAGTTAAGCCATTATGAAATTTCTTCAAAGAACATTATTAGACAACACATATGTACTCTTGGTTAAGGGACACCATTAATGAACACACTTTATAATTTAAAATGCTAGCAGAATTTGCTTTCAGTCTCAGTCACGGAACCATTGAGACACTTTGGGGAGGCAAGCGAACCATTGCACTTCTTCCTATACTGGAAGGAAAAAGAGAAAAGCAAAGTTATTTCGTGGTTTTGGAATATTTTTTTTAAAAAGTTTGTGTTTTGATAGTGCCTTCCAACGAGTTCAGAATTATGAGGCATTTCTTTGTCAAGGTGAGAGAGGCATTTTGAACTAAATCTCCCAAAGTCTTCAGTGTTTGATGGGCAAAGAAACGAGAGGAAAGAAATAGGAAACTGCCATGCCATCTTTCCCCCATTATCGCCCTTTTATGAAAAATGATCTGTGGCTTGCTGCCAACACTTTGTTTAAAAAAACTTGGTTGTCTGGTATTTCTCATCTGCATGAAAAATAAAAAGTGTCTACATTTTTTTCTGAGATAAATGGTAACGATAAAGCTTTCTTAACATTTTTAAATATAGGCTGCATACTCTCCAAGAAAAAAGCCCTACAAACAATGTCAGCTGTTTTTGGAATATTATATAAATAGTTTTAACTGTCATATAGGGACAACATATTTTTCCTGCACTCCTAACCCTCACAGGAAAAAGGACATTGGCTCTTTCTTCATTGGCTTGGTGTAGGCCATTTATTTACTAGCCACCTAAGTAAGTGCCTACCAGCTGCTTTTTGGTGAAATCTAGGGATCATCCTAAACATCTTGTTTACTAGATGTGGGAAGCAGGCCCAGCGGGCTTGGACTGAATGGAAGTAAGAGTCTAGCATGTACTAAGAAGCCCAAGATTCCCAGCCCTGTGTTGTGCCCTGTGTTGTACCAGGAGGCAGATTTTCATCTGTGGAGTCACCTGGGAATCTTTATATCCAGTTCTAAGGACTGAGTAACATCCTTTTTCTCCGGCCAGACCAGTAACATTTTTTAAACAGTTGCTGGACTTTTGAAATAAAAATTTTGTGTTTTCTGGCATGTAAACAGAGATGTCCTAAAAGAAAACAAATGAACCATTTGTCAGATAATTCTGGTTACCTTAATCCCTTTGTTAGGTTTTTATCATGGAGATGGTAGGTGACAGCTTTGAAGGATGTTAAGCAGTGGGGTTATTTTTTTTTTTTTCCAAGGAGACAATTCTTAGGACAGACTGAGTATTTTTTCCTCTTGTTTTTGAGCGTATAGCTGTAAATTAAGATAGGAAAGCTGACTCTGACCCAGGAAATATAGGATGGTAGGCCAGTACACTTGCAGGATCTGTTATTTAGACCCATGTTGAGTGTAACTGCCTTCCATGTTACCCTCAGTACCTAGACCCCCTTCTCATCAGCCCTGCTTTTTGTCCCTAATGTTTCCTGTTCATCTCACCTGGACTGCTTCTTGAGGGATTTTCTAGAGGAAGGATTAATCTGAGATGCAAATTAATGCCAAATTGATGATGTAACTCCTGAGTCCTGAAACTCAATGTCTTAGATGTCATCTGGCTTACTCCTTAATTTTCTGGATGAGGATACTAAAGATCAAAGATGTAAAGGAGCTTACTTGAAACCACCCAGCGAGGCCACCCTTACCTATGAACTGACTCCATGGTCACCACCATTCTTACTGAGGAAGATCTGCTACTGTCTCATGAGCATCTGTAATGTGCCTGGATACAGTTCTCGCTTCAGACCTCACCACCTCATTTTCTAGTGAGGAACTAGGCTTTTTATTTTACTTTGGCTGGTGTTAGGGGCATTTGGTGAAAAGGTAGCTATGGGAGACTTCAAGCAGCCAAAATACTACCTAATAAACCTCTGGACCTTGAAAAAGAACTGCTTGTGGTAGCCCTGTTGTCCAGAGTGATAGGGCCTGAGTTTTCTGAGTGGTTGTAACTTTGATGGTTGTGACTTTGGGAAAGAAGTATATTGCATGTAATGTTTCCAAGAATTAGTCACTCTGAGCCAGAGGACTGTGGGCACATAAGCTGAATCAGTGGCTTTAATGGGCAGCAGTTGACTGCAGGAGAAATTTGCAGTTTCACCAGTCTTATTGCTGGGCAACCCATACATTAAATAGTGTTTGGTTTGTTTGGATATCTTTTATTGAGAATTAAGCCCCAAAGCAGCTTTCTGTATGTATTAAAGTCTGATTGATAATGCTAAGCTTTTCTTTAAGCACTGGAGAAATTTGGCAGTGTCTGGAATAATAATTTGTTTGGCTTTGGCACTGATAGTTGAAGTGCCACTTCTAGTCACTTTTAATGTTACCGAGATTTCAGTCTCAGTGCCGATTATTGAAAGGTTTGTGGCAAATAAGATTTCAATGCTGTGGTGAAGCAATCTATGTGTGCTTTAAAGGTAAGTAAAAATAGAGCACATTTTCTGAGT